CCCTGGGCAACTCATTCAACCTGTGTTTGCCTCAGTTTTCATCAGTTTAAATGGGGATGATAATAGCACCTACCTTGCAGGGTTGTTGTGAAAATCAAATGAGAAAAGATTTGCAAAAACACTTAACACAGTGCCTGGCACATAAAAGGGGCTATATAAATGCTTCCTCCCTCTTTTCCTCCCTTCTTTGTTCCCCAAACTACCATGTCTCTAGATCCTGAAGCAAAAATAATAATTTTAGGGAGATGTGAGGATAACATGAGCACTGGTTACACTGAATTCAGGGTGTTTTTCAGATGTCTTCTCAATACCACATAGGAGCACTATAAAACAAACTACTGTAGAGGAAGGTGTCATACTGGTATCCTTAAGTGCCATTGATCCCCCTTTCTTTTTTAGATCCCTCCAATTATATGAGGCCAACCTTGTCGCATACCACCTGCAGCATCATAGCATTTAGAGATAGCAGGGAACTTAGAGATCACCTAGTCAAATCTTCTCACATTAATAATAGCTAACATTTATATAGTGCTTTAAGGTTTGCAAAGCACTTTATGTATGTACAGTCATTTGATTCTCAACAATCCTGCGAGGTAGATGCCTTTATTATACTCACTTTACACCCACCAAAACTGAGGGACAGATAGATTAAGTGATTTGTCCATGGTCACACAGCTAGCAAGTGTCTGAAACAGGATTCAAACTCAAGTCCACCTGACTCCAGGTTCTATACTCTATGCTACCTAGCTCTGTTTGTTATCACCCAGAATGTTCATCATTTTGCAGATAAGATCCAGAGAGAGGAAGGTTTGCCCAGGGTCATATGGATAGTAAGCAGCAGAACCAAAATTCAAACACAAATCTGATTAAAAATAAAGTGTTCTTTCCAAATACCAAATTGCCCCCCAAGTCAGGTAAACCTGGGAGCCTCCATTTGACCTTCCTTAAGAATTTATAATGGATCATCTCTTATTTGGGGGTAGGACCTTGTGTGTGTGCTCACCTTCTGTTGATATTGTTGATACAACCTTGCTGTGCCAGAGCCCAGAGCATTATAAACATCACAATGGGTATCATTTTTCCTTTCAGGCTCAGATGTGCAAGATGACCCTGTGAGGCATGACAGTAAGCAATTATCTGAAGCTAAAGGATCCAAGAGATCAAGAATCTAAGCAAAATCACCATAGCAATTGGCAGTCAAAACATCAAAGTAGCAAGGTAGAGAGCCTCCAAAAAATGGGCCTCCAATACTCTTTAGCCACATGCTGCCATGCTAGGATGAAAGCAACTGTGAACTCTTTAACTGATTTGAGAAAGGGTTTACATTCCAAAGCCTCCCTTGTTTTCAGCACTTATGGATCATCCAGAAATAAAGACTTGACACAAATAGTGTAAAACCAGGAAATTGGAGGCATACTTCAGGGGACGTATGTCTCAAACTCCCTCCCTCCACCCTGGGTAATATTAGTACAGGGAGAGGCACATGGGACAAGGATGGGAGGCATTTATGTCCCAAAGGCCAGGGTTGCAAAGATCTTTCATTCTGAGAAGATCTGACTCATTCCGCAGGGGAAGTCTTGTTATGCATTTAAGATTAAGTTAAGGACGAAAGGAAGTACAAAAACAAAACCTTTATGAAGAGGAACCATCATAGTCTCTAGCTGAAGTTGGAGAAGACAACTTATAAGATTTCTTAATCTCTTAGCCTATAGTGATTTACTACATTATATTCTGTGCAACTTATTGCCAGTATAATTCCTTTGACATTTACACAATAAGACATATTGATAGTTATCATGTGTACATACTTCTTTTCCCTCAATTAGATTGAAAGCTCCTTGAGGACAGAAACTATGTCATATGCTTATTTGTGTTCCTAAGAGTGCTTTAAACACAGTAATGAGTTCTCAAAACAATGCTGATTGGTTGGTTGAATATAGATAGTCAAGCTTCAGGCATAGAATTGGGTTACAGAGATATTACCTTTTTTTCATCCATGACAACCATCTGGAGAGAGTCTATGTATAGGAGCAATGGTCATTTCCCATTTGACATGGCTAGACTTGCACAAGCTGTTGACATTGCAGCCTTTTGGCTCTGAAGATTAACTGATAAAGTGCACTTCTTTGGAAGTTTAGGGTGTCATTTTCCTAGGGAATTCTGCTAGGAGAATATAGAGAAGATGCAAGGGCAAATGGATAACTATTTAAATATTTGATAGGTTATCACCTGGAAGAAGAATTACACATTTTGCTTGACATCCTAGGGTAGGACTGCAGGCACTGGGTAGAATTTGTAGAATGACTTTTCAGCTCAACATAAGGAAAAACTTCTTAACAATAAGATGGATCCAAATTATCCACATGGGGAGGTAATGAATGAGTTCTCTACCCTTGTGGTTTAGTTGTTTTCAGTAGTGTCTGACTTTTTGTGACCCCATTTGGGGTTTTCTTGTTAAAGATACTGGAGTGGATTGCCATTTCCTTCTCCAGATCATTTTACACATGGGAAAACTGAGGTAAACAAGGTTAAATGACTTGCCTGGGGTCACACAGCTAGTAAGTGTCTGAGGCTGGATTTGAACTCATGAAGATAAGTCTTACTGACTCCAGGCCCAGCAATCTATCTACTGTGCCACCTAGCTGCCAGAAAGATTCTTTACACTGGAGGTTGTTACATTGAGGTTGAATGACTATTTTTCCTGAAAGTTGTAGAAGGGAATTCCCAGAGGACCTCTACCTAATTTCTAACTCCAAAATTCTGTGGATAAGTGCTGAGATAATTCTTAGCCCTATTATTACCATTGACAAATATTTACAGCAAACATTTATATGTAGGGTGCTTTGTTAGGTTCTGGGTATAAAACACAATCCCATTACTTTGGGGATTTATAAAGCAGGAGTATTTGTGGTTTAGTTGTGTCCAACTCTAAGTGACCCCATTTTGTGTGTGTGTATTTTGGCAGAGATACTTAAGTGGTTTGCCATTTCCTTCTCCAGCTCATTTTACAGATGAGAAAACTGAGGTAAACAGGGTTAAGTGACTTGCCCAGAGTCACATGGCTAGTAATTGTCTGAGGCTGGATTTGAACTCAGGAAGATAAGTCTTCCTGATTCCAAGCCCAGTGCTCTATCCACCTACCCATTACTGCCAATGCCACCCCTGCTGACAGCAGCAATTCTGAGGAAAGCAGCATAGGCCTGGAGCGATAAATGATGATAGGAAGAAGCATATGCTGAGCAAGGAATGATCAGAGAAATCTTAAGTACTGAGTTAGGAGGAGGCACAGAGGAACCACTGAATATTAGGGCAGGTGAGGGAGGTTGCATGAAGAGAAGGAGACTTGAGCTAGATCTCCAAGGAAAGAGGGAGGAGAGCATGGAAGCTCCTGAGTGAAGGTATGGACTACACAAGGCATATTAGCAGGAGAATAAGTATATTAGTTTTCCTGGAGTAAAGGTTTGTGCTGAGGAGGATACTGAGAGAAAAGTTTGGAGAAAGTTATAGAGGGGCCAGTCTCTGCAGATCCTCCATAGCCAACCTAAAGAGTTTGGATTTTTATCTTTTGGAGAATTGAGAATATTTCAGTATGGGGGACAATGCAAATCAGCATTTCTGGAAGATTAACCTGCCAGTTGTGTTTAGGATAGAATGAAATGGAGAGAGGCAAGACTGGAGGGAAGTCAATTAGTAGACAGTCAAGTGGGAAAGCCACTAGAGCCTGACTAGGGTAGTGGCAATGGGAATTCAAAGGGATGGATGCCAGAAACTATTACAAGTGCTCATTTGTGCTATTACAAGCACTTTCTTTGTATTCTCCATGCCCAGTACAGTCAGGTAATTTGTATGTTATTCACTTAAAATAAAAGCACAGAAATGTTTTGATCCTCCACCTTTCTGCCCAGTGCCCCAGGCTGTTCTCCCTCACCCCCTTTAGGTCAGCACTTTATTTATTTTTTCCCAAGAAAGGCAGAGTGGTGTAGTAACAAGATCAGTGCACTAGGAGGTTGGGAAGTAAGATTCTCATTTCCGCCACTTGTCAAATGTAACCTTGGGCAAATTATTTAATATTTCAAAGTATAATAATACCACAACTGGCTGAAGGCAGGGTGCTGGAACAGATGCTCTCATGAGGTCTCCTCCAACTTTAAGATTTTTCCGCTCCCTCCAACATCTGTCTCCCTTCTTTCCATCCCATAGGGAAAACTACTAGTTGGATTTCAGCTAGGAGACCTTGAATGCAAAACTGTGACCAACCTCGCCGCCCCCCAACCCCACCCCCAGCCACAGTGTAAGTCTTCCTTGTGCAGCTCATTGACCCCACAACTTTTCTCTTCCTCCATCATTTTTCCTCCATCCGCGCTCCAACTCTCTGGTCCTTCCATCAGTGGTTGCCAGAGAATGACTGTATTTCTTTCCTCCCTCCGAGAGCAACTTCTCGGGGGCGGAGCCCACCTGTGAACTCGGGCAGAGGCAGGGAGAGGTGCCAATTTGGGGGGGGGGGAAGGGGAGGCGGGCAGAGGGCGGGACAGGTAGGGCGGGAGGTACTAGGGAGAGAGGAAAGGGAAGGAATTGGGGGTGGTGGTTTGGAGAAGAGAGGAGGGTTAGCACCCGGGAAACCCTCTTTCAGGAGCCGTGTATGTTTGTGAGTGGGGAGGGGGGAGGAGAAGACAAGAGGGTGTGTAGAGCGGAGGACAAGCTGAGCTGAGCTTAAGGACAGTCGGGGGAGGAGCCGGCAAACTGCTCCAGGAGAGAGAACTAGCCCAGGCGATCGGCCGTAGCCCAAGCAAGCAGCCCAGCAGAGCGCTGTCCCCCGGCTAACGCCGGGAGCATGAGCTGGCGCTCTGCTGGAGCACTGCCGGGGTAGGCGGCCGTGGCGTCCTGAGAAGCTGGGCTGGGGCTCCGTGCGCCTGGGGCGCTGGGCCGGGCCCGGGGGCTGGGACTGGGTGGGAAGCAGTCCGCGCGGGCGGCAGCGGCGGCTGCTGCTGCGGCGCAGCGCCATGGGGAGCCCCCGGCCCGCGCTGCTCTTGCTCCTGCTGCGCCCAGTCAAGCTTCTGCGAAGGCGCTTCCGGCTGCTGCTGGCTCTTGCCCTGGTGTTCGTGGGACTCTGGACTCTCTATCTGGAGCTGGTGGCATCAGGCGAGGTCAACGGGAACCCCCTGTATCGGAGTAAGTAGCCCCGGGGGCTGGGGCTGTGCGATAAGTGTGGGGAGAATGGGCTGGGAAAGTGTGCGCCTAGGTGGGAAGGACGGAGCGCTGACCCTTCTTCCTCTGGAGGAAGAGAGAAAGAGAGAGCTAACTCCCGCCCAGACCCAGCTTCCAACTCGCTTTCTTCCCTCAGGTATTTAGCCCCACCCCGGCGGTAGCTCAGTCTTTTCTTTCCTCCTTTACTCAAAGAGAATAGTCCGCGGGGGCTCAGGGGGCCAGAACTTCTGGATTCCCTTTCAGGGACTCTGCCACTGACGAGCCAGGTGGTTTTCAGGGTATCTTCAGGTTCCTTGCTGCTTGCTGAATGGGGATGAAGCAACCTCAGCCCCCTCGCAGGGATGCTGGGACAGAGACTTGGTTATAACGTGCACGTTGACAGGCTTTCTTACCAGCTAAATGCTGTATCCACGCGATGGCTTTATAATTGTTGCTGTGATGCCCTCAGCTTGTCTCTACTGGTGCAGTTTGGTTTAGAACTGCTGCTATGCCCAAACTTTCACTGTTCAGACCTCCCCTTCTCTCTTGACATTTTTCAATGTCAAGCCTCAGCCCCAGCTCCCTTCTGTGCTGAGCTTCAATTTGCCTTCCTGTTTTGTTTTATTTATTTTGATTTAGGACTTCGAATTTCCCTTAACAAGATTCACTTTTAAAGATTAGAATTCTAGTTAGAATCTAGGCTTTACTGCTCTCTCTCTCTACCAGTATGACCTTGGGCATTAAATCACTTAACTTCTGTGGATCTCAGTTTCCTCATATATAAAATGAAGACATTGGACTAAATGACCTCTAAAGTCCCTCTTAAATGTATGGTCGTATGACCTTACAAATTCCTTTCCCACCCCAACCTCCTTTTTCTTTTCGTCCAGGTTTCCCATCACTTTACCAGTTTGCTTTCTACCCCCTGGTACTCATCCTTCCTACTGGTATTGTCTCTCTACCTTTAGGCCTCCCCATATGAACTATATAGCTCCTTAGATGCAGCACACCTTCCCCTTGAACTAGTTGTAATTTATACTTCTCCTGACTGACTGGGCAGAATCACTTAATGTTGTTAACAGGATTTTACTGAGCCCCTCTCTAACCCGAGAATGAAGAAATAGCAGGCCAGGGACAAAGTACCAGTAATCAGGTAGCCCTTTAGTTAGTTAGTTTCATTATGAGGAACAGATTTTCTAATTGGGAATTCCCCTGATCAGAATTCCACCTTGCTGAAGTGGAGACTGAGATTATATACATAAATCACAGTGGGAAGGGAAGGGGGAAGGTGGATTACAAATAATTTCTAGGGCCATAGCGGTTTCCCAGGCCCAGCCCACAGATCCCACAGTGCTAAGGTACAGGTGTCCTGAAGTTCTGTGGGAACAGCATTGTTCAAGTTTTCGGGGGTCTTTGGCTACTTGGAGGGTTAAAGGACCAGAGTTGTTTGACAGCAACAGGTTCTACAGTCTTCGATTCACTTCACTGAAGGTACACAGGCAGTGATGGTGAGCATTGTCAAAGTCTGATTGATCATTTCAAGCTTCATTGTAAGCTTCTGACTCACAAGCCAGAAGAGGCAAATGTGAAAAATCTAATTTATTAGTATATCATTACACATATGATGTCAATTAATATGAAAATTATAATTCCCTCCACACTATTATCCTACTGCTTTTCCAGCCCTGTAAAGTGTCTCCTTCCTCTTTTGCGCCATAGGCATATTGTCTGGTATTCTAGCCATTTTGTTGGTGAGATGAACATATTAGAATCTTTAAAAAGGAAGGAAGGAGGGGGCGGCTAGGTGATGCAGTGGACAGAGCATTGGCCCTGGAGTCAGGAGGACTTGAGTTCAACACTTACTAGCTGTGTGACCCTGGGCAAGTCACTTAATCTCCATTGCTTTCCCCCTCCCCCCACCAAAAAAAAGAAGGAAACAAGCACTTAAGTGCCTGCTATGTGCCAGGCACTGTATTAAGCACTTTACAAATAATATCTTCTTTGATCTTCACAACAACCCTGGAAGGTAGGTGCTATTATTATCCCCATTTTACAGTTGAGAAAACTGGAGGCAGACAGAGGTTAAGTGACTTGCCCAGAGCCACAAAGCTTGTAAGTATCTGAGGCCAGATTTGAACTCTGGTCTTTCTGACTTCAGGCACAACACTCTCTCTAAACCATGCCACTTTCCACAATGAGCTAATATCTGCATCAATAAGGCAATAAGCATTAAATGCCTACTGTGTGTCAGGCACTGGGCTAAATCTTTGGGGATACCAAGACAAAAACAAAACAGGCCTTGTGTTCATGGAATTTATATTTTAGTGGGTGAGGTAATATATGCATACACACATCAAATATAAGGTTACCTTGGAGGGGAAGGCACTAGCAGCTGGGGGCACCAAGAAAGGCTACCCATGGTAGCTGACACTTGAACAGAATCTTGGAGGAAACCAGGGATTCCAAGAAGTGTTGGTGTGGAAAGAAAAGATTTCAGGTTTGGGGAACATCCAGTACAAAGGATTGGAGAGAGAGAAGGAGAGTTGTATGAGGAATGGGGAATAGGTCAATATGGTTGAACCATAGAGAATGTGGAGGAAAACAATGGGAATGGGTCCAGGCTCTGAACAGCTTAAAATGCCAGTGGTGTTTATATTTGGTCCTAAAAGAGAATATCTAGAGTTCATTGTGTAGGGACCTTGTCTTACCCAATAAACTTGAGAAAAATATTTTGGTGGCTGTGGGGAGGATGGATTGGAATTGGGAAAGACTTGAGGTAGGGAGACCAAATAAAATAGTATTGCAATCAGTCAGGCAAGAAGGAATGAGAGCCTCAACTGTTGGGTAGAGAGAAAGGGGCTTATCCAAGAGATGTTGTGGAGGAAGAAATGACAAGATTTGGCAACTGACTGGTTATATAGGGTAAGAGTGAGGAGGAGAGTGAGGTTGACCTCAGGGTGAGAAGGATGGTGGTGCCTCTGACAGTAATAAGGGAGTTTGGAAGAAGGGTGAATTTGGAAGGAAGGACAATGAGTTCATTTTTGGAAGTGTTGAATTTGAGACATCTATGATCTTTATAGGATATCAAGTTTGAAATGTTTATTAGGCAGTTCATGATATGGGACTAGAGCTCAGGAGAGAGAGACTAGGATTTAGGAATTATCTGCATAGTGATGGTAATTATATCCATGGTTGCTGATAAAGTCATATGAGAGAATGTTGAGGGAAGAGAAAAAGGACCACGCCCTCCCTTAATGGGCATGGCATAGAAAATGATCTGGCAAAGGAGAATAAGGGATGAAAACCAAAAGACAAGCACTGTGTTCTGTCCCCCAAATACAGAAGACAAGTGATACAAGTGTAAGTGATCTAGTACCTACCTTCAAGGAACTTACATTCTACTGGAGATGTGTAACACAGATAACTAAAGACTGGATATATGCAAAATAAATATGAAATGTTGGGGGAAGGGTGCCAGCAACTGGAAAGCCTGGCTTGAGCACTTTCCTTAGAATTTGAGATAAGCTTTGAAAGAGGCTAAATGATAACAGCATCAAGAAAGCAGAGTCAGAACAATATGAACATAGAACCATGTATTTTATAGATGATAACAGCAACAAAATTTGGAAAAGTATACTTTTTAAAGGGTACTTTGAAGTGTATTTTTGAAGAAATTTCATAGGAGAAAAGGAAACAAACTAGATATTACTAACTTGCCAAAGTTAATATACATGTTAAAAATTAATTGTAAATAACAATTTTGCATTTGACAGTTGTTTTGTTCTTGTCTTCTCTCTTGTTCTCTCTTCTCTTGTTTTCTTTTTTCTGTCTCTTCAAATGATCATTTCCGTAAGTATTCCCCCAGTAGAATATAATCTTCTTTAGGGCAGAGACACTGCCTTATACTGCGTTGTAGATAGTAGGTACCTAACAAGCAAATGTCTATTGGATATGATTGTGTGCCTGAATGTTTTTGTTGATGGTCATGAGGTTTAGCACAACAACAACAATAGAATCTGGACTAGTGCTAAGATGTCTTAACCATATAGTTTGCCCTAAAAATATTTCAATTAGAGTAAAATTAATCTATGACAAAAAAGTGACAAAAAAGGAGAAATTTGACTTGGCTTTTTTTTGGGGGGGCACTACAAAAGGTAGCAACAAGAAGATTGGATGAAGATTTAGAATATTCCAGAATTCTGGCTTTTCTTCTTAATATTTGTATGACCATGGAGCAGTCAAAGTCCCTGAATTTTGGTTTCCTTATCTGTAAAATGAAGGGGTTAGACTAGATGATTTATAAGGTCCCTTCCAGATCTATGAATCTGGGCAAGTCTCATAACCTTTTTGACCTCAGTCTCCACATCTGTAAAATATGAGTAATAATGTAACTGGCTAGTCATGGAAGTCAAATGAGATAAAGCTTTTTTGTAAATCTTTTAAGTCACTGTGTAAATGGATTCAGTTTTTACATATTCCCTCCCTGACCCAAAAAGGGGAAGAAAATCATTCCTCAGTTTCCATAGCGTCAGCCAGGGTCTGCATTTGACTGTGGAAATCTTTGAAAAACAGAAAATTCTGGAGTTGAAAACCAAAATATAGCATCCCCAAGAAGAGTGAGTTTGGATGAGAAATGTTGAGTCAAGAAACCAAAACAAAGAATTCAATTTCACCCCAGTGTAGTAAGGGAGGGAAACTATAGGGGTTAGGGGGAAGTGCTGCTGTTTACAAGTTGAGTGATCCTAGGCACTACCTACTTTACCTCTCGAGGCCTCATTTTCATGAGGCCCACAAAAGAGAAATCCCACTGTAGTAGCAGAACCCAGAGACCAAAGTTGGGCACTGAGATTGAGGTACATTGAGGAGACAGATGGTGTATAGTTTTCAGACTTTTGGTAGATAGCTATGCTTGGGGTGGCTGAGTTTATAGTGGGGTACTAGATCCATTAATGGGGGTGAATGATTGGCTAATGATTTGGAAATCT